GAAGATGCTCCGAGGGCTGGAGCACCTCTGCTATGGGGACAGGCTGAGAGAGTTGGGCTTGTTCAGCCTGGAGAAGAGAAGGCTCCGGGGAGACCTTATAGCACCTTCCAGTACCTGAAGGGGCTACAAGGAAGCTGGGGTGGACTTTTTACAAGGGCCTGTAGTGACAGGACAAGGGGTAATGGGTTTAAATTGGAAGCGGGGAGATGTAGATTAGGTATCAGGAAGAAATTCTTCCTGGGGAGGATGGTAAGGCACTGGGACAGGTTGCCCAGAGAAGCTGTGGATGCTCCATCCCTGGAAGTGTTCAAGGCCAGGCTGGATGTGGCTTTGAGCAACCTGGTCTAGTGGAAGGTGTCCCTGCCCATGGCAGGGGGGTTGGAACTAGATGGTCTTTAGGGTCCCTTCCAACTCAAAGTATTCTATCATTCCTCTTGCAGAGGTTATGTCACAATAAGCAATATTTGTTTTCATGGTTAGCACTGCCTCCTAATGCCCCTCCATTCCTGATACAAACTCAGTTTTGGGGTTTTTTTTATATCTCTTCCTGTATTTTTTTTGGATATCTCAGTTTGAGCCAGTGCACAGCTGCCTAATCCAGTTGCAAAGTGGTCTTTCACCTTCAGTATTTTGAACGTTGTACAGGAAAATTTAAAGGACAGAAAGTGATACTGAATATTTGAGAACTCTGTTAAAAGGAAATGGATTTTCTGAAGCATGGCTGTGAAAATAACATACATGTGAAGGAGTGTTGTTTCAGCCTGACATCTTTTACAGTTCCTAAAAAATGGCTAAATGAAAAAAAGCAAAAAGAAGTAATAGCTGCTTTTTTTTTTTTTTTTAAGTCCAGAAGAGGTGTAAAGCTTCACCATAGAGAGCCACATAATATTACTGAAGGTGTAACCTGTTTAGGGAATTGGAATAGCAGGTAGGCCTTTATGAGTAGATGCTGCTAAATGTGGCATGTGATACTTTTGGGCAGGGCTTATGTGGCCGTGTAGCATTCCTTTTCAATGAGTTAGCTGTAAGCAGAACGCTGTTGCAACCAAACAGGTAGTTGCGTTTTAACATGGACGGGGCAGTCATACCTATGGCAGGGTGTATGGCAGGCTGAGACTGAGGGTTTCTGGCAGGGAGATAGGAAGAAACTCTTAGTGTTTTTTTTTTCTCTGTGGATTACAGCTATTGTTCTCTGATCTTCATGGTGATATTTTAAGTGTCTTGCATGAGCTGGAAAAGTTATACTGGGTCAAGTGCATTATTGTTCTTGAATTAGCACCTCAGTTGTAACTGTATGTGGCTTCCCCCACAAGGTTTTAAGGATTATGAATGCTGATAATGAGCTTACTTAAGGTGGTAAGATTTTTATGGTCTCCTCAGCATTTCTTTTGGCTGTCCTTGGTGTAAGGGAGATCAGAAGCTATAATCCATCAGTCCCTTGCAGGACTGAAGTGGAGGTTTGTGAGCTGTAGCCAAGATGGAGATCCAGTATTTTCATGGTGGTGGTGTATCTTCTGAACAAATGCTCTTTTCTTTCTTCATCAGTTTCCCCTTGGGAATTTTAAGGATTACTTGTAAATGCTTTTATTTCTACTTCAGAAGATGAGAACATCGGTAATTCCTGTACTGATGCATGTTGGTGGTGGGCTTGACAGGTGAAGGTGTTATTATCACTATACTGTCTTTTTTCATTCTAATCTGTCATGAAACCATGAGGAAGATGCCAACAACTCTTGCTATGTCACTGCTTTAGTTCTTTGCTTTAGAAACCTGGGTATTCAGTGTGGCCAGGATTACTGTTGACCAGCTGGCCGTTTCTGCTTCGTTAATAAAGTATCAACATGGTAGTGATACTGGAAAACTGTCCTTCTGCGTGTTTAGAAGAGTAGTTCTTTAATATGCATATGTAAACTGACATAATACTCTACTGTTGTTTCAGCTACTTGTCGTAGAATGGTTTGGGTTGGAAGGGACCTTAAAGACCATCTAGTTCCAACCCCCCTGCCATAGGCAGGGACACCTTCCACTAGACCAGGTTGCTCAAAGCCTCATCCAGCCTGGCCTTGAACACTTCCAGGGATGGGGCATCCACAGCTTCTCTGGGCAACCTGTTCCAGTGCCTCACCACCCTCTCTGTGAAGAATTTCTTCCTAATATCTAATCTAACCCTCCACACTTTCAATTTAAACCCATTACCCCTTGGCCTGTCACTACAGGCCCTTGTAAAAAGTCCCCCCCAGCTTCCTTGTAGCCCCTTCAGGTACTGGAAGGTGCTATGAGGGCTCCCCGGAGCCTTCTCTTCTCCAGCCTGAACAAGTCCATCTCTCTCAGCCTGTACTCATAGCAGAGGTCTTGAAAATAAAACAAAAATTCAGATTAAAAGCAGTGGTTCCTAATCTATGAGCTCTACCTTGCTTGCTGGACTCAGAAGTGGAGCACAGAAAACTTGCTGAAGCCCAGCCAGCTGCTAACCCTTTCATTATGAAATGCAGTAGCATTTCTGCTAAGCATTTCAATCTTCTTGTAAGAGTTTCACACAAATTTTAAAATGTTTGTATGCACAGTAGAAAAGCACCTGAAGTTCGTGATGATCTAGTAAAACACAGAAAACCAGATTTCACATAACAAGGAAGTTCTCATATATTAGCTGTAGGAGCCACTCTTACAAAGCACGGTGCAGTGAAGGGCGTTCATTTACTATAAATAAGAAAAATCTTAGAGCATTGTGTGGGAATTGTGACTTGGTTGATAAGGAATGAAGGAATATGAATAGATTGCCTATTAAGTGCTTTGTTCTGTAAGTCACTGGTAAAACTAAAGAGAATTAATAGAGATTATATGCTGCACTGCAATAATTAGGAAAAGCTATTTCTGAATAGGTGATGTCACACAGAATTTGGCTTCTTCTGTGGTTTCTTAATTTGGGTGTGCTTTAATTAAATCTTAATAAAGGAACCATCAGGAATTTGAAAGGAACTTTGCATGTAACTGAGGAAATCCATTTTCTCTCTGAGCAGCCAATAATAACAGCACCATTGCAGAGTTACATTTCTGAAAAACACAGGGTGGAAATATTTCCCTGTGGTAGCTCCTTGCTCCAGCTGAAGCCTTTCTGCATCAGCCACTTCGTGCTCCCCAGTCCCCAGGCTTTAGACTTCTCTCTGACACAGCCACTGTTACGCACAGTGCCAGGCTGTTATGTTTACCTGGAAGCTCAGGCTTCCTCGCCTAAGAATGCAGGATCAAATTCTGATTCAGATAAAGCTGAGGAAGGGAGTGGCTGGTGTCCTAATGCAACCAATAATAAACATAAATAGGTAGGAAAATAGTAGGTAAAAATATGATCTGGTATTAAGTTAAACAGATGTGTTTTGGAATTGCCAGTGAGAATTTTACAATTCTCATATTTGCATGACATCATCTGGGGTTCATGTATCTTTTTCAGGATATGTATCCTGAAAAATACATATCATGCACTGGGGGATGCACCATCCCCCCAAAACCTGGGAAGGTCTTGATTTTGGACACTGTGATTGGTCTGTTGTGACTGCAGTTTGCTATCCTGACACGTTTTACTGCAGGTGCTGGAAGGCGTAGTAGCGTATGTTAGCCTGTGCGGATGCTTGTCCTCGCACAGCTAGCGCGGAGCGGTCCTGACCACGCTGCTTCAAGCATTTGCCAACAAAGCACACAAATTTTTGGCGTGCTGTTACTCACCGTAAATCTATGCTCCCTCCTTGGAGGGATCTTAACTTCTTTTCAAAAGCCATGTACCCCAGTGTCAGGGTTCAGTGCTATTGCACATGGGCAATTAGTTGAATATTAATGCTGTTGGTTTGAGTTTGGGGGGCTGCAGTTGCTTGCTGGCTCTGAACCCGATTTAAAAATTAAGTGTAAGAGACAAGGTAAAGGACACAGGGGTTAATAGTATTAAAAAAGCAATGGGTTAACTCAGTCTCTTTTGGTTGTGTTTGTGTTGGTTTTTTCTTGCCTGACCTGCAGTTCGGAAAGGACAGTGGTCAGGAAATGCTTGTGGCAAGATTGTGCGTGTTCCACACCCAGGGGCAGAGAGAAAGCCCGATTCTCCTACTGTATGCCATGTGCATTTGTTCTGGTAATGATTTACTCTGGGCAAAGTATGCTGCTTATAACTTAGCAAGTATAAAAGGCTAATCTGAACGATTTATAACGATAATGGGGAGCAGCTGGACTTGACTGTGTCTACAAAGTTCTATATGTTTTCAAGTTCTGAGGTTTAAAGATCATGCTCCTAAGGGATTGTAAGAAATAGATGCAGGTGGAAGTCAGAGCAATGTGAGCCCTGCTCTGATCTAACCCACCTGCTCAGGTAGGCCGTGTGGGCTTCGGCAGTTCCTGCTGCTCAGCCGAGCTTTAGAGAGCAGCGTTGGTCAAGGTGTGGTTATCATGACAGGTCTTACTCTGTCTTCCTTAGTTTTTACTTATGTTTTGCACCCTCTTCTTTTCCTTCTTTCCCCTTTTTCCTCCTTTCTGACTTCTCTCTGACATTTTTCTTTTTCCTCCCCACCGTCCCTGCTTTGCCTGTGTGCGCAGGATGGAGTTCAAGATCTCCCGCAGTGGAGGAAGAAGCTGCTCTTCCCTGTGGTGCTAAAAGGAGTTAATCTAAAAGAGGCTTCCCAGCATGTTCATGCGACAGCATGTTGGTGATAAACAGGCTGCTGATCTGGTGTGGTCAAAGTTTGTCTCCCTACTAGTAAGGTAGGAGGGTGAGAATTATAAATTCTGCAGGTCGGCTTGGTGCTGAACTACTTGTCCTTGCGTTTTGCTATGGAAATACACAGTGCACTTTGCCTCTTCCCATTCCAGCTGCCTTACAAGCACTGAAGAGAAAAAAGAGATATGAGAAACAGTTGAGTCAAATTGATGGGACACTTTCGACCATTGAGTTCCAGAGAGAGGCATTGGAAAATTCCCACACCAACACAGAAGTGCTCAAGAACATGGGTTATGCTGCACAAGCCATGAAAAAAGTGCATGAAAATATGTAAGTCCTTTTGAATAGCTTTTAAACTGCTTCATCACTACAGTGTCAAGTCCACCAGTTTTGACTTCATATTTGGTTCAGGCATTTAATGTCAGGAATGCTGTTGGGGCTGTAATGTTGTTTTGGGGGACAAATGTTATTTTCTTAACAGCAAGTATAGAGGTAAGTCCAACTAACTGAAGAGATACGTGTTGCACCTGGTTGTTTTTTTTTTTAAGTCTGCCTTAGCAGTAGAGACTTGCCTCTGCCCTCAGGATTTCCAGAAGAAAACTTAGTTTCTTCAGCTAAATGGACTATTTTTCTCCAAGTTCGTAAGCTGGACTGTGTGACTGAAAGTGCTCATTAGATCTGAATAAGTGTGTGTGTGTGTAGTATTTTTATATGCCCTATATTGTTTCATGAGGCATTTTCCTGTCTGAATAAATGGAGTTAAATCGGAAAGTTTCTTCTGGGAGCAGTAAACAGGAACTGCAACAATAATGGAGTAACAATAAGGGGAAGCTTTTAAATTCAGTACAGTCCTGTTAAGTTCCCTTTAGTTCTGGTGAAAGCTCAGCATCAAAAAGGATCCATCTATAAAGATGCTGACCTTGTAAAGGAGATGGGATCTACCTGAGGAATGTGACAGTTTGTTGGCAGAGGTAAGAGAAGCAGGTGGAGGGAGGGAGACAGATTGCTGCACTTTGACGTTTGTTATAATCCCAAAGTGGAAGAAATTGGACTGGCTAAAACATACGGAAGCTTCCCCAGAAACTTTAAGTTGTAGGTGAGGGAAGTTGTTCCTTGAATTCTGCTGTTTGCACAGCCATGGGCATAAAAAGGATATAGGGTCTGTTCAAGTTTTCCTGAGTCTGTTCTGTAGGATTTGAATGATGTATCTTTAAAAAAAGTCTCCATATTATCTTGGCAGGGACTTGAACAAAATTGATGATTTGATGCAGGATATCACTGAACAGCAAGATGTTGCCCAGGAAATTTCAGATGCTATCTCAAACAGAGCTGGCTTTGGTGATGAGTTTGATGAGGTTAGTACTTTAATTAAAGCCTATGAGTTTTAGCTGTTAAATGACTCCATGGTTATTTTGTCGTGCAGTGGCTTGTTTTAGTGGTTTCTTACTCAAACGTGTGGGTGTGAAATTCCTTGGTGTTCCATCTTACCCTATGTAGGACATTTTTATAAGTATTACTATACCTAAAATTAAATAAAATTAATTATATAATAAATTACAATTCCTATATTTGTAAAAATGTAAAAAAATATTTATTTACCTATAGATTTTAAAAAGATTATTTTTAACTGCACTCCTATAGTTATTATTCTCCTTTGTACCATGGAAGGAGCTCACTAAAACATGAAATTTGTACTCCTCCAAGTAGACACTGAAATATGTAGATTTTTGTGCTCCAAACAGATATCTGTTTGACTAAGCGCATGTTCCTGTGCCACGAACAGGCTGTTGTTTGCAATTCTGAACATCTGGACCAGAATTTTAAGGTCCTTTTTTGGTACTTGGAGGTACAGGTAATTTCCTTGTTTTCCATATTTTCTACAGCAGTAGATCCGTTATCTAGAAGTAATTCCTGTTGGAGGCAATAAGATTTCTTCCTTAAGCTCTTTTCTTCTGAAACCCTCACAAAGCAATTAGAACCCTGTGAAAATTTGTTGCAGTAGCCCCTGTCCAGTGTCCCTGGATGTGATTATCTAAGCAGGACGTTACTTATTTCTGATTCAACCATGGCTGAGGACTCAAAATTCAAGTATACTTGAATTCCTGCAGTCTGTGGCATACAGAGGAAGGGATCAGGCTCAGTATCACAACGGGCTTGCTTTTGTTTTTTAACTATGAAGACAACCAAACACAAGGGATTTTATTGGGCTTGTTTGGCCTGGAGAAGAGAAGGCTCCAGGGAGACCTTATAGCACCTTCCAGTACCTGAAGGGGGCCTACAGGGAAGCTGGGGGGGACTTTTTACAAGGGCCTGTAGTGACAGGACAAGGGGTAATGGGTTTAAATTGAAAGTGGGGAGATGTAGATTGGATATCAGGAAGAAATTCTTCCTGGAGAGGATGGTGAGGCACTGGAGCAGGTTGCCCAGAGAAGCTGTGGATGCCCCATCCCTGGAAGTGTTCAAGGCCAGGCTGGATGAGGCTTTGAGCAACCTGGTCTAGTGGAAGGGGTCCCTGCCCATGGCAGGGGGGTTGGAACTAGATGGTCTTTAAGGTCCCTTCCAACCCAAACACTTCCGCGATTCTATATCATATTGCTTGATTGGGGGTGAAGAGGAAGCTTCATTCAACAGTTATAATTTGCTGAAAATAGTAATGATTCTTTGTATTTTGTTTTTCCAATTTGAATATAAATAGACTTCAAGACACATTTATCACTGCTGGAACAAAGAATTAAAACATACTGCCACCCCGACCAGCTACACAGTGTCACTTAGTTTTCATCAGTGCTTAACTTCTGGCAATCTGGAATTAGTAAGCATGTTGTAGATTACCCTGGAAGTTCCCTCCTAAGAGATACTAGTCTGAGTTGATTGGCACGTTTTCTGTTCTGGGAAGATAAGCCACTGTCACATGGGGCATTGTTGTACTAGCACTTGCCTTTGCATAGGAGCCTAATACTTAGGCACTTGTCCAGTAACTGGGAAACCTGGTGTGCAGGCCACTTCAGCTGAAGAGCACTAGAAGCAATGTCTTCATTTCTGCGTTATGAGGTGATTTGTGTTGGAGGATGATACTTAAAATAATTTTTTTGAAAGACATTTTGGCCGCATGTGGATTTCATCTTCATTTGTCTGCCATGGGTGTAAGGAGAACATGGTAGCATATTATTTCTAGTGCTCCAGATAGACACAAAACCATAAAGATTCTTTCTCCTTGAGATGACACTGTGAATGTCATGAAGAATGCAGAAGAGCTCTCTCCTCCCTGAGTAGGATGATTACTGGGAGGGGTGACCCTTGCCTGGAGGCCTATTTCCGATATTCACATTAGAAATATGTGCATTTCATGGGCAAAGCCTGGAACCTGAGAGTTCACGTGGTATCTTCCCTCTGCAATCTTTTTGGTCTACGTTCAAGATGAGAAAGGGCATTTGTTGTTGCTGCTGTGATACTCCACAGCCTCGTAGAGCACACCTCTTAATTGTTTACTTGTTCAGCAGAAATTGGTAAGGACTAATTTGGCATGGAAGGGTGTTAGATGACCATCTAGCGAGGTCTTCAGACATACTTGTTTCCATGGACTTTACAACAACTTGGAGACTAACTTTGTAAGAAGCTTGTATTCACACCACTGTCCGGGGCACTTAAAGTACAGACACAATTTCACCTCAGCTAAATGTCTAAGTTGGACATGGGGTCCCAACTTGCACATTTCTTTGAGAGATCAGCTGTCAATTGAACATCATCAAGTATAGATTCTCATTCTATGATTCATTCTGTAGGTGTAGACCTGATGCTGAAATTTTCAGGTGGTATCCTAGTATTTGCACTGTGAACTAGATCAGATAGGCAAACTGTAGCCATTTTTTTTTGGCCTTAAAAATATAATAACAGAACAAGGAAAGTCTAGGAAGGCCTGTGGTGGATATGTAATTATAATTTTAATTTCCACATTGGTGATAAGCAAGGTATAAATGGGTAGAAAAAGCCCATTTCGATACTTAGATCACACTTTGCTGTAGTCACCTCTTCCCCAGCCACTTTTGCCTGTTATTAATTTTTAAACCATTTTATCAATGTAGCAATGGTCCATTTCTCTATAAATGTGAAATATTTAGCTTCCTTTTTTTGGGGAACTTCAGCGAAGGAGTAAGTCTTTGGCTTTTAAAAAAGTGTGTAGCCTCTTTCTTTTTAGTATTATACAAGTGGATTCGATCATCTGTCCAAATCAGCTTCTGCAGCTAAAAGCCCAAGAGTGTTACATGCTTCAGGAGTGAATAACGGGACCCAGGAGGACATCTCTGATTCCAGTGCTGCTTCGAAATCATACGTAATCCTGGACCTGTGTGATAGCGCGGAAAAGCATAATGTTTAATGACAGTCTGCCTTATAACCAGTGGGATGTGTTTGCTTTTTAAAACAGGAGAAATTGCACATTATAATTAGAATCTGTTAAATACAGGCTCTGGATTTGGACAAACCTGTGGAAGGCAGAGGGACCTTTGTTTTTTATTCACCCCTGCTGTTTGCCTTTTTGACGGGTATTGCACTGCCATCGGTTTTCTTTCAGATTATTTTCCTTGTCCTGTTTCTAACTTCCACTGTCCTTCTTTCAACTTTCAATTAAGGTTTATTGCTATTGCTCACACTCAGTAAAAATTATACTTGCGATATGCTGGGTTTTGATACGTTTTTCCAGCTGTAAACTGTTTTCTCAGTGGTGCTTTGCTTCATAGTCATTAAATATGCCCTTGCCTGAGATCACTGTCAGGACAATGAATTTGTAAATAATGTTTTCCTTGAATTTAGGATGAGCTGATGGCAGAATTAGAAGAATTGGAGCAAGAAGAATTGAACAAGGGAATGAGAAATGTCAGACTGCCAAGTGTTCCGTCCACATCGCTGCCTTCTCGCCCTGGTAAACTGCTGCTTGCTGGCCGTTTTACGTTTCTCATGGTTAAGACATGCTGTGAGTGGGAGGAGAGGAACAGATTGCTCCAGACATGTATTTAACTGTGTTTTAACTTTTAAAGTATTACAGGTTCCTCTTCCTATTTTTGTATCTCTTTATCAGAAAAAGCAGAGTGGAATTCTGGTTTGCTGTATGAAACCATTTAGGATCAAATTCTGTGTAGATCTGGGGAGACAAACTCGGGGTACTTGACCTTGCACATGTAGCAGTGCATCTCCTACTGAAATGTAGTGAGATCACTGAGCGACAGGAAGACCTTTCTTCTCTCTTTTTGCAATTATACCTTTAATCTTTTTGAATTAGAGTCTGACCTAGATTCAGAATGTTTGCGTCACAAAGATCCAGCTTTGTAGGGTAGTGGTTTGATGTTTGCCACTGGTATTTTAATTAGAAATGAAGGAGGCAGCAGGAAGTACACATTTAAAGAAAAACTGTCGTTCCTTTGCTTCCTTTCTACAGAACAGACTTACTCCTGCCATTAAGCAGTAGTCTTATTTTTCTGTAGTTCTGCCCTGTTAGTTTTGAATTAAGCCAGAGATGGTCAGCTTCTAACTCTACCTTTTACCGTGTCCCTGTTGTCCTTGATTGGCTGAAAGACTTGCTGTGTGCTAGTGCTAGCAAAAGAGTATAAATATTTGTTGGCAAGGGCAGCACACGAATGGCACAGGTTGTTTATGGTCTGTTCTGCTGCAGAACAGGTTACCTAGACCAGCTCAGCTCAGAGACTCTTTTATGTGTTTTGGCAGACGACACTGAAATCCCTGAGAAGCAGTTTAAAGTACTCAAACTGGGATTGTTGCCTCACCTACTTAAGTCAGTGGCAGAACAGCCAGTAAAAAAAATGGATTTAGGAAAACCCAGTGCAAATTGCAGACTAGGCGTTTATGGCTTGTTCGTACATCTTCTTCCAGATCCAGCTGTGCCAGCTGACATTTTTATTAAAACCAGGCCATCTCTGTGTGCCTCTCACTATCTTAATTTGCTGCTTCGTCTGTCTGCGTGACTGCTTCAGGCAAAATTAGCTGGTTACATTTAGGTAATTTAAGGCCTTGCAAAAGCAGGTTATCTTTTACAAAACTGGATGCTTACTGTTACACAGCAACGGCAAAGCAAGAACAAGAGTTAATGGTTCTGTAATGTTTCTCATTGGAGATGCATGTTACCCTCCTGACTTCAGAGATGGGGGATCTGAGGCGTGGAGCAAGGCATAGTGACCATCCTCAGTTGCACAGTGACCTGGTGGCACTTGCCTTTAGAGCAGGGACTGGACCTCTGCTCTCCCATGTCCTCCTCCCACCTTTAGTCCCCAGAGGTGGGGGGCTGCAGCCCCTCTCAGGGTGGTGGCTGCCACAGGCGGGAGCCCACTGGCTGCCGTACAGGTACGCTCAAGGGTGTTGTACCCAGTGACAGTGTCACACCGGTGCTTGGAGGAACGCAAACCCTGACATGCACAGCCCGCAGATGGAGACAGCCTGAGGTTGAACCTGGGCTGCAGGGATGCAGTTTGCAAGTCGGTGAACAAAGAACATTTGGGTAAGGTTTTAGTTCAGGGAACGCGAAATATGTGCGATAGGAGATTTGGGTGAAAAAAAGAGAAAGTGTGTGTGGGACCTGGTGCAGAGTTGGAGATTGCTGTTGCTGTGAACGCAGCAGCTAACTGATGTCACCTGAACAAAGTGAATTTGGGAATTTCTTTCTCCCTTTTAATAAGTGACACCTTTCAGTAAAATGGGGTGAGTGTATTTGGGGGCTGGCCTTGCACAGGCACAGCCCTTCAGCACTCTTAGGAAAGGTAGCAGGGATACACAGCCGGCCAGGGGTAGGCCACTCGTGCCGGCTTACGTGGTGGTGAGAGAACTGGCAGCATTCTTGTGCGTGCTTGCTCCCTGTGACAGCTTTTAGAGGTTAAATGTGTTTTCTGTGTGAGTCTTTTTCAGTTAGGAGTTAGCTCAGACCTATATTGTTAACCTCGGGGTTATATGTGAGATATGGTGAGGCAAAATAGTTGCATCTCTCATCAGCTTCATTATTGCATTACCTGTGTTTAGTTTGCTACTCAGTAAATTGATTTGAGATCTTCAAACTGAAAAGCATTATGCAAGTCCTCGTGCTAACAAGTAAAATGGTTCTGACTGTTACGTTAGTTGATGGTTATTGTTAATCTCTCCTTCCCTGCAGCATCGACCAGGAAGAGAGCGGAGGATGAAGATGAAATGAAGAAGCTGGCTGCCTGGGCTTCATAAGAGCATGGCCTTTTTATGACACTGAAGATTGTCATGCAGGTGTAAAGAACTGTAGTGCTGTTCTAGCCGTACCGATTTAGTGTAGCTGTATTTCATACCGGCTGGTATTTTTCTTATGGTCAGTTTTGTTAAGAATAGTGTTACTGCCATATTACAAAACCAGTTTAAAAACAAACAGATGAAAAAATACAATAGTTGCCAAAACCTCTGAGCATCAAGTTTTTTTCAACCTTGGCCAGAGACTTGTTTTGTTATTAGTATTGGGTTTTGTTGGGTTTTATTAGGTAATGTCTTACTATATCTTGCTGGTTTGCAAAACCTCTGTGCCTCACTTATGCACACATCTGGATTCATTGCTGAAATGACAAAGTGTGATAAATCATCAAGGTCCCGTTCTAGAGGGTTATTTGGTTCAGGCTATTTGAATATTAGCAGAACGGCTTTATACGTGTCCTGACCGGCGAGTTCCTTTGAGCCCAGGACCTAATGCCACTCATCTGGGAATGGAGGTTTAAAACAGTTTGGAACAAATTCTGTTGTCCTAGATATTAAGAGGAGACTCCTCTGTAGACTTTTTTTGAAGTGGAATAGGTGTTTTGTTTTAAACTTTGGCCAGAATATCCCATGCACTTTTATGGGTCAGCTTGAATGGTATTTTGAATTAGTTCCAACTCTGTTTAAGAATGGTTTTACAGTGAATTGGGGAAATGAAATGTCCAAGTTCTTATAGATCCCTACCGAACAAAACTGATTTTGGCTAACCCTGTCCAAAATCCAGAAGAGATTTGACCTTCCTGTGTTGTTCTCCTCCACTGTGTCTTCCTAGGGTGAGTCTTTGCCTTGTGTGATAATACCCTTCCTCAAAGGAATTAGTGACATATTTTTTTAATGATAGAATTTCAAAATAATTTCTGAGCATTTAGTTCTTTTCTCATACTTATTTTCTGGATGGAAAGAATACTAGTGTGTGCTGTATTTGAAATGCCTTTATAACCCTGGTTAAAAGCTGATTCTGAACTACTTGTAAAGTTGGTGTGTTATTGTTGTCCAACTGACAGCTTCTTAGCTTAAGGATCAAGTGCCACTCTGTGTGCTAAACTACTACATGTACAGAGAAATCGCTGTTCAAATGCAAACCAAACATTTAATAGGCTGCTTTGTACTTACAAATGTTTTATTAAATAAGACTTAAGCTCTAAGCCCTTAGCCTGCTGTCAGTCACCAGGAAGTAGTGAAACACTGTGGACTTCCTAGGGATGTGGGAAGCAGAGTCACATTGGTCTAGGTTTCTTGTTTTCAAGTTAATTTAAATTTACTGATGATTGAACTGCTTGTGGAATAGTGGGAGATTTGGGCTCTGCAGATTTTTTGCAATAGAAAACAAACCCCTTCTCCTGTGGGTTTTAGCCTGTGATTTGCTGGGTGTTTAGTTTCAGTAGGCTTCAGCTTACTGGATGTGTTTCTGGACATGGCATGCTGGCGTGCTCGGAAACTTTCACGAGTTCCATGGGTGAAATGCAGAATTTACAAACCCTGTGGAGAGATTCAGTTTTTCAGGACTTCTTTGATTCTCTGTAGTGAAATTGCTTTTGGTTTGCATGCAAATGAAAGAAGAATGCAGTCTTGCCCACTTCACTTCACAGAAATTTCCTACTAGAAAAGATTGTGTTAATCCTGTCCCAAAGTTTGGAGGTACCAGGGAAATTGTCCCTTTCTGTTGAAAGTAGATAAAACTTGGAACTATTCAGTTTTAGTTTTAAAAACAAACAAAAAAGAGAACTGCCTTAAATTTGAAAATATATTTTGAACTCCTAGTAGGAAACCGAACACTAACAAAATCTTACTCAGTTTTAATCTTCCTCATTTGAACTTGCTGCAATTCAGGATGTGAGATGCTAGCTGAAAGCAGGCACATTTAATAAAATAACAAATATTCTGAGTTATTTAGAATCCATTTGCTAATCCTTTTGGCTGGAGTCCTGTTTTCAAGGTATGCGGTCTGTAAAAGTCTCTGAATTGGGTACAGAAGGTATTAGCGTCACGCTGTGAGGCTGACTGTGTGCTTGTGGACACATCTGGTATTACTAAATACGAGGCCATGCCAACATAGTCCCGTGCTTAGCTTAGAGAAGCTGGTTTCCTGCATCTATTCTTGGTCAGATTAGTAGTTTTCCAATACTTGGCGCTTACGCGGCACTTGGCATATTTAAAGTTCTCTACAACCTCACCAAAATAGGTCTCTAAGATTCCAGTTTGAAACTGAAATGATTTTCAGTCTGTTTTGGAAAATGTGAACCTGCTGGTTTTGTGCAAGAACTTGCCATGTGAACACCTGCGGGGGAGAAAAAAATCCTAGGGAAGGTCTCCTTTGCGAGCTAGTGCTAGTGTTTTGGTTAAATGCTGATCCTGGGAAACTTCAGGTGTCTTCAGCTTATTGATTTCAGGCCAGGTACTTCAGGAACAAAATTTCTGAAGGGTGAAGAAAAGCTGTGGTCATTGGGGTGAGCTTCTCTAAAAGCTTGTGTGTAGTTGACAGGTGTGGTTGGGGAAGCTGTGCTCTGAAGTACTGCGGTCGTGTCCACAAACCAGAATACAGTGTGGGCAACCAGAACCAGGGGCTTGTTGCCCCCTCCCTGGAAGTGTCCAAGGCCAGGCTGGATGAGGCTTTGAGCAACCTGGTCTAGTGGAAGGTGTCCCTGCCCAGGGCAGGGGGGTTGGAACTAGATGGTCTTTAAGGTCCCTTCCAACCCAAACCGTTCTGTGATTCCATACTTGTGTGGGAGACAGTAGACAATTGGTTTTCTTCAAAAGCAATTCTAGGGATTTAATTCAGCTGAGAAGGTGGCTCTTTCCTGTGTAAATTCAGATGACAGTGGGACAAATAGCTCTTCCTTTTTTTGAACATATGTCTGTCTTCATGCCAAGGTGGTATATGTTCAGTATTTGTAAGCAGACGGGAGTGAATAGTGTCAACGTGTTACTGTAAATGTACTCGCTATTAACTGGAACATATTTTACAAGAGGGCTGTGGAAGCAGATGGTGTAGTACAGCTGACTTCCCTTCCTGGCTCTTTTTTATTTTGAGAATGTTTTCTTCTCTTAACAGACTTGGACATTTTTAATCTGGATAGCTTTAAAAAGAGAAATTATATTAATGAAAAGTCAAAAGAATTAACATATGTATATGCTGTAAATAAATATTTTTGTGTCATATTTGTGCTATATGATTGTATTCAATTTACTATCAGGCAAAACTGTAAGTACTCTCTTTACGCTGTCATTAAGATACAGTGCTCTTTTGAGGATGTGAGGATGTTTTGAAGTATTTTTGGATGTATTAGTCTTTCAGCATCAGGTTAGAATTCTGAGATGCTTAAAAATTGTTTCAGTTGAAAAAAGAAAAAAAGCAGTGTATGGTATGGTGTTTGTGCTGCATTCCTTTGCATTTGAGGGTCGTGTTCTAAGAGGTTCTGTTACTTTAATGTGTCCAAAATAGCTGATTTTTCTCTTCACCCAGCCCCCAAACTGCTCTTCATTGTTTCAGAAATATGTGTGCTTCACTTTCTTGGCCTTAGTTGAAAGGAAGAAGGATCAGGTCTTTTAAACACAAAAAAGTAAATTTACCATAGGCAAGGATGAGTGAAATAATGCGTTTTTTCATGCATCTCATTAGAATCTCCTTTCAAGTGTGTGTGTAGGGTCTTGCATTTTACGTACAACACACGCACGCATATTTACACATATCTGTAAAGTGTTGGAGCCGCGGTTTAAGACCCTTACTCATTATCTGTTCTGGAAAGGGTACAGTTGCTCAGGCAACTCGTCTTTTGCCTCTTTTTAAAGCCTAAAGATTTCATCACAAGATGCCAAGGAACTCTTTCTGGTACATGCAGTGCCTGCTGTGTACACAGCTGGTGGGATGGCGGGGTGGGTATGTATGGGGACTATTTCCAGTGAGAAAAATCTCAGTTTTACATGATGCAGAGCCTAAATTATTTTAATGATGTTTTAGCGACATAAGGAGGAAGCTTTAGTCTCAAAAATCACGTGACAGCAGGGACTGGCTTGAACATCTTAAGAAATTCCAGCTCTCGCCAGTCTAACTGTAGGTAGGTGTCGTGTTTTCTTACCTCTGTCCCCAATGCAGAGACTGTGGCAAGACCCACCGATGCAGCACTGCGCAGTCGGGTGTATACTGCAGGGAAAACCTGCCCTGTTGATGTGACTGAGCATGGTTTAAGTGGTGTATTGTTTTGTTACCTGCATGTAATTACCTGGCCGTCGCTGAGCTGTACGCTTGGGATCCATAACTGCGGTGCAGTGGGTGAAGCTAGGCAATATAGTTATGAAATGTTAGTATGTGCCTGGAAGTGTCTAAACATCCTTGTGTAACGGGGATGGCTACGTCTGGCAGGGTCATCCTGCTCCCCTCTTCTCCCGCTCGCTCCTAATCCCCAGGTTTTCACCTTGTGTGTGTCTGCTTAGCTGACTCCTCGCAGCCCCCTGCCCCAACTAAAAGTCTCTTGGTCATTCCCTGGTTGCTGTTTGGTACAGCTGATCCTTGTTGACCCCTTTACCAGGGTGAGCTTTGGGCAAATGCCCGCTCAGCCGGTTTGGGCATCCCCCTCACCCCTCACCCTTACACCCCCTGTGCTCTCTTACCTGTCCCAAGCTGGTTTTGGGGCACAAGGACTGTCTGGGTACCCACTCCCTTGGCTCTCTCCAGGGGTAAGCACCTGACTCTCCTAGGCTTGAATGGCAACATGTGTCCAAACTGAGGGTCTGCAGTTTGTCAGCGTGCTAAATTTATTGGGTGGGAAGCTAATTGCTCTGAGCTAGCGGTCTTAACCCGTGCAGGTGCCCGGTCTCGTTGGTATGACATACCAGCTTTTAAAGGCGTACTGCCTTGGTGGGCAAGGAGTGGTTTGTGGGTGCAAACAGGATTTATGTGGACCCATCCCCACCCCAAGGGACTACCCTTTCCACAAAAAATAAAACGT